CTTGCTGAATGATAACTTTCACCGTGATTAATAAGCGTCGAGTCTGATAAGAAAGCAATGTCACGATTTCACCTTTATGATGAAATACTAGTAGTGATGTCATTCTTAGTCAATCAGTAAAACAGATGCATAAAGGTCAAAGATGATTGCTAGACTGTAAACAAAATCATCGTGTGCCATGGCAGCAGAGCGACCCCATTTTTCTTGTCTCTTTATTATGATTAGACATGAATGAAAAGTGCCAAGCAGACAGACTGCGAAATCCGTGGATTAAAAGTGCTTAGTCCAAATTGTGTGGGACGATATCAACGAACTTCAGGAATAAGTTGTAGGGATTTTGTTCGACGGCTACAGTGACGCCGACTTGGACATTTGAGGGTTTTGAGTTTGACGAAGATGGCAATGAACGTACAAATAAAGATCTGAGAAGTTTTTTCAAACAGCTATGCATTTTTATAATTTTTACTGTGTGAATTTGTAAATTATTATTGATCTTATATGACAGTTGATTCATAATTTGCCGAGACCGGAAATCATTTTACGCAGTTTAACCCCTGACATTTTAATTCATTTTGAGTTCACGCGTATTGGGCATGTTTGTCAGCGGGAAAATCCTAATTCAAATGATTCCTCACTGTTGATTTTTATTATTTCTGGTTTATTTGTCCCATTATAAGCAATACATTATTTTTGTTTTACTTCTAGTGTTGCATATTGTTCATTTATTTCCACTGCACGTTTTCATTTGCCGTTCTATTCCCTGCCGCAGTTCGATCTGCGTGTTGTAAATTTTCGTTTTTTTTCCCGGGGATCTCCTGGCAAACACCCACCCCTTCTTTTTGGCAATTTTCCATGTTCAGGACCCTGGGCTTATACCCGGATAAATACGGTAAGTCTAAAACTCAATATATCACATTTTTTTAATTTTACATGGATACATGCATGTAGATATAATAAGTTTAATTTTAAGAATCCTGTAGATAATAAATCTAATTTATGTGCACTTTTATTTCAGATGTGCCTCTAAAAAGCAAAACTAACACAATAAGACACTTACATGCTACGAGTCTTTTCAACGCGTAATCTCAACGTCCTCGGTACAAACAACGTCCTAGCAGGTTTAGCACTGCTGGCATCAGGGTGAGCACTCCAGGGTTTAGCATAGCAATGATCTAATAACACTAAATCTAACTCTCTCTCCCTTGCTGATAGGTGGAATAGAAGTGAAGAAGTCATCTTTGATTCAATTCCGATATTACGAATATAGAGAGTTTGTCTTGCTGGGTTACAGCATTATTGCATTCTGCAAAAATAAAATAGAATCATTATATTCAGGAATGGTTACAGCAAGTCTCAGAAGTATTGGGACAGCCAATTTGCAAACTCGCTAGCAAAGTCTCTTTGACTAAACAGTTGGCTTTAAAATCTCGCTGGCACCGACTTGTGACCGCATGGATGAGTCTATACTGCAGTAGGGGACATAAAATGCTTTTTCGATGCCTGGTACATGTTTTCTGGATTCCCCATTTCAAAGGCGATTTACTGTGTTACGTGAGACGTGATAATGTAAAGTACGGTAGTTTACAATTACCAAATAAGTACAAGGAATTTACAAACAAATCTGCTCACCCCATTCTTATCAAATAATGCGGCTTTATTTCATAATCATGCTTTTCCCATGCGTTTCTCTGGTTAGCCTGACAACCACAGTAATTTGCCGCACAAGTGATAATATGATAAATACAATTAATTCACTGATACATAATATAAGGGCGTAGCCATCTTGAACACAGCATGAAACTAAATAAAAAGTCAAGTTGAGAAACAGGTTTTTCATTTCAAACCAAAATTGCCATCCAACTGTAAGGCTGTTGATGATTAGCTTCTGAAAGTCTGATGACTGTCCCCCTAGTGTTAAAATAGATTCACTCAGAGTAGGCGTTCAAAATTCAAAAAGCAAACCATTTAGTCAAAACTCAAGTAGTTAGCCAATATTGGGATAAACCAATATTCAGCAAAAAAGAAATGTAGATTTAACAGCCATGTTTTTTATTAAAACAACAACATCAACTGCTGATGCATTTTTTTTTTCTTTATTCCTATTAAATTATTCATGGAGGCTTTAGGATGGTGATGTGTTAAACAGGACACTGTCATCTGAACTATGAATGTGTGCATTCTACTTTCTTTTCTCTGGCTGGATTATTTTTTACAGCATTCTGATTGGTTAATAACAGACTTGATTCAGGTCAGAGGTCTTTGTTGCAGGTCAAATCAAGCAGAAAAACATGATGGAAATTGCTTTGTATCAAGAGTTTGGATCAATTGAAAACATCCAACCTCAAATATAATCAAAGAAAGCTTAGAAAGAACTCCCATGTGCTGAGAGTATTGGAGACACATTAAATATAATTCGAAATTACTTAGCTGAAAACTAATTATGCAAATCAGAAAATTAATATGACCAGATTTGAGTGTAAAACTAATGAGGTCTGCGCAATGTAACAGAACCAAAAAATTATGAATTATTATGCTTATTAGGGAATTAATATGAACAGATTTTTACCCCAAACTAATTAGGTTTGTACATTGTCCTAGAGCATCTTTGTACTAAGTTTCATTGAAATGGAATAATTAACACCGCGAAAACTCCAAAATTTCGACCCCTCTAAAAATTTGACCGCCTATTTATTTGCCGGGTTTCGGTGTTTTATTTACCTCCAAATTTTCGACTCCACTAAAAATTGCCGACTCATTCTTATTCGAAAATTGCGACCAGTTTTAGTTTTCCCCCAAACGAAAAAAAAACCGATGTGAGCGTTCAAACGGGACCTTCCTCAAAGGCATGAATCCGGGTTTCTGATTGACTGAGAGATTTTTATTTTATTGGTAACGAAAATATATTCTAAATAAACGAAGTTTCAAATAAAAACGA